ACACACACACACACACACACACACACACACACACACACACTTTGTTTATTGTAAGACTGTTATTTACATACAGTAAAACAGCAGTGTTAAACTCAAGGCCCGCGAGCCACATACGGCCTGCAGGGTATTTAGATGTGGCCCGTGGGGCCATCCTGGAAACAGCAAAGGACTGGTCCACACTGCCTCTGGCAATGAAAATGGAGCTCTGGATAGACAAATGCAGCCCTCCCAAACTCTGTTTTTGGCTGCAACGGCCTCCTGCAGCCTTCTGCCAGCAAGAATGGAGCTTGAGATAGTCCCTCCTGGGCTCTGTTTTCACTGGCAGAGGGCTGCAGGATGTCAAACTGGACATGCCTACCCTGGCCATGCCCACCTGGCCCACCCACTCAGCTCCCCAAGGTCAACCATAATCCTCATGCGGCCCTTAATGAAATTGCGTTTGACATCCCTGCTGTAAAATATCCTGAATATTAATTTATTTTGCAAGCATTATTCAAAAGTCATCCTTGTTTCTATTATAAAACTTTTGCTTTTTCTTCAGGATTCTCTATTTATTGTTATATTATTATTAAGCAGTGCTTAATATATTATTTAACCATTCTTATAATGGTTTGAAATACTCCTTGTTTTAAAATATTGTTATTCTGAATTTTTTTTCTGTTGATAGGTAATTTATACAGAACAATCAAATGTACAAGTCAAAAATAGTGTTTTCTTTTTCTTGGAGTCAGCATAATTGTAGAAAATTTTAAAATGTATAAGGGCTTTGGCAGACTAAAAATATCCTTTTTTTTTTTCTTGTAAAAGACAAAAAATATAGACTTTTCCCAGTAGAAATATGAATTCTTTGAGATAACCTGTCATTCTGACATGTATTACTTATTTATTACATATGTATTGACATATTTATTGTTTCCTTTATTATGTATGAAATCAATATAATCCATAGTAAAATAGACAAATTAAATGTTTTTACTTCGTGTACATTACCAAGTCTCTTGAAAGTGTACCATGACATTCTGGATACAATGTAAGATTATTTTTTTCTTTCTGAGAGTTTGATCTACTTTGTGTTTAAGACAGACACTTCTTGAAAAGAAATTGTGAGAAAATATGAACATGTCCTCCTGTTCCTTGTTTTTTCTGCTTCTTAAATTTACTACTTGGCCACTTGATAATATCTTTTGTTCTTTAATATCTGTATGTTTTCTTTGTTTGCAGGTTGTTATGGTGTTGATGGTGAAAGTGATTCCATTATGAGCTCTGCTTCAGAAAATTCCACTGAACCATGGTTTTGTGATGCTTGCAAATGTGGTGTCTCTCCAAGCTGTGAACTTTGTCCCAATCAAGATGGAATCTTCAAGGAGACAGATGCTGGCAGGTTAGTTGCAATAACATATAAGTAGGTCTCTGTGGTTTTTATGCTTTTATAAATAAGTTGATTTGGTATATACAAAGAAATGAAAAAGACACAAGACAAACAATAAACAGAAAGAAACAAAAACAAAAGCATATTTTAAAAGTTCACTTTTGAAACATTCTTTAAAATTTTATTATATAGAGTAATATTGATTAGTCTGCCAATTCATTAGGACAGAGTAAATGCATTTTAATTCATTATTGTAAATATTTTTTAATGTAGAATAGTAATCTTTTTTGCCACATGTCTGGTAAAACTATAGGAGCTCAAATATTAATCCTAACTTCTTGTATTAATTCAAAAGCAGATTGAAATCTTTAAATTATATTACTGTTCTCAAAAGCATAGAAATGTATGTATATTAAACCAAAAGCAATGAAGTTACAACCAGCCCTTTTATGTTTTTTTCCCCTTAATTCCTGCACCATGCTATTAAGTTTTGGTATAGATCATTCATAATTATCAATAAGGTATGACAACTATTCATCATTATGCCTAATTTGGAAAATCTATTAACTTTTTTCTTTCTAATGTTTAAACAACAGCTTAGAACAGGGATGTCAAACTCAATTTCATTGAGGGCCATATCAGAGTTATTTTTGACCTCAGGGAGGGCCGAGTAGGCATGGACAGGGTAGGCGTGGTCAGCTTGATGTCACTCATGTGAGGGGTGCCTGTTGTGGCCTTAGCACTCTGCCAGCAAAAACAGGCTCCTGAGCTCCATTTTTGGCCTTCTGCAGCCCTCTGCCAGCAAAAACGGAGCCCAGGTGAGCTTCATGCAGCCCCCCGAGCTCTGTTTTTGCTGGCAGAGGGCTGCAAGAGCCGAAAACCAAGCCTTGGAGGGGTCTCAAGCTCTGTTTTTGCTGGCATTGGTTCAGTGGGCGGTCCTTTGCTGTTTCCAGGATGGTCCCCCAGGCCAGATTTAAGCATCCCACGGGCTGGATCCAGCCCGTGGGCCTTGAGTTTGACACCCCTGGCTTAGAAAATGATCAGATTCCTTTAGAAGATCTTCAAAATCAAGGGCTTCCCAAAATAAAACTTTATTTATGGATTTCCCATGGAATATATAACATTCCTAAAATCATAATACTCTATAAGATAATTCGGGCCATGAAGTTTAAGTCCATAGTCCCTACAGGAATTTATTGTATCGGGCTTGAAATTACTCAATAATATATGCAGGGTCCATGGTGCTCTGTGAGCTTGTTTTTTATTTTTTTGTTTGCAGATGTTTCATTACCAAAGTAGGCAACACCAATGCTAGAAGGAATTGGGGTTTATTCTCTATTTATATATTATATACTGCCCTGTCAATGTTGGTGGGCATGGTCTTGGTAAAACATTTAAATTTAACCTTTAATCTCAATGAACATTAAATTTAACTTAATAATGCAGAATGGGAAAAATATTTTTTTTAACAAATTTTATTCAGTTTTTCACATTAAAAACAAAAATCTCTTTTTAGTGGACAACTTATTTCTGGATCATCACCTTTACATACAAATATGACAGCAATTATACATTCATATATGCATACTTAATTCTATTATTACCTTTTCCATTCCAAATTTTCAGTAAGGAGAGAAACAAACACATTAATTCTAGCCTCTTTCATTAATCTCAATCTAAACATCTTTTTGTTTCATTTCAATTATTTCAAATATAATCCTTTAATATTTATTTTAAAAATAAAGATAAACAATATGTGTTTGCCTAATAATAGTAATAATAATAATAATAATAATAATAATAATGATAATAATAAAAAAGTTACCAATGTCTCTTCTTGCTTTTAATAGTCTATATTAATTTATTAATTTAGTTGGTTCTTTAGTCTGTCATATTCCCTTTCCATTACACATTCTTTTTATAAATTCTAGATTAATACAAATTTTAACACTTAAAAAAAAAAAACAAGTATAGGTTTCCCCCCCTTTTACTGTTTTGAGTGTGACACCTCAATTATTAAAATATACCTTTATTCCCTGATCTTGATTCCCAATAAACCATTATTTTTAAGAAGTTACAATAATAATCATTACATCTATTTCTTTATTTCATGCACCTGTTTCTTACTGCTTCTCCTCCCCCTCTTTTCCCCATATCTTTTCTCATTCCGTTTATATCCCTCTCTTTCTTAATATATTCCTTTCCCCTTTTCTGCTGGGTCTTTCTGCCTTTCCTGACTTCACAGGTATTCCCCCTTTTGATTGCCTTCTTTTTTTTTTAAAATAAAGTTTTATTTGGGTTTTCACACACAAAATACAAGTAAAACATCTTTTTTGAAAATAGCATGGTCCCGGGCTGAACTTCTTTATACAGACACAAAACTCAATTTCATGCTCCTTTTTGTGTTCTATTCCATATCTTATATTATTCTACATTTTCTATATAGTTTCCCCCCCTCTTTTAATTTTCTCGATTTTATTTTGATTATCTCATCTCAATTCAAATCATTATATTTATACTTTTGTCTGTTCTGTTTCAATTTCATATTATCTTTTCTCATTAAACAGATTTTCTCCTGTAATTACTAATTGGAGTATGACACCTTTATATCTTTTAATTACATCCATTCAACTCTTATTTAAACTTCAATATATACCTTAAGGTTATGACCTTCAATATAATACATAATATATAACTTCCAATCGAATTCTGCTTGGTACATTCTTATAATACACACTATATTCTTTAAAAAAAAAGGATTATAAATATATGTAATTATAAACCCTCATTCCATTCCAATTCAGTTCTATCATTAATAATCATTAAAATCTTAACATCTTTAACACTTCTTTTCAATTAAATATCATACTTCCTTAAAGACACACATAATCTCCATAATTAATTTTTCCCTTATTTCTCTTCACATATGTTTTGTAAATCATTAAATATTCATTTTGTTACATTTATTTATTGACAAGCATTCCACTGAATTACGATAGCTATTTTATCAAACATTTTAATCATACATTGTTTCATATTTTCTAAAATTATTTCTGTTTCTAATATAACAATACTATTTTATGTACCTTTGCAAAATCCCTTTTTCCATTAAATTTTCACCCATTACCTCTAAATAGGCCCTGTTTCTCTATATTTTGTTTCTGTCCTTTATAACTTCTTTTCCTTTCTTTCTTCCCATTCATCTTCTCCCTCCCCTTTTTACCCCCTTGTCTCTCTACTTCTAATTCTCTCTTCTGCATTTCCTTCTTCTGTTGCTTTCTGATTTTATACTTATTTTTCACTCTATTTTTTTTTTGGAGTTGTTTTTCCCAATCTTAAATTTTCCATTCTCTTTCCCCCCTTTCCTTTTTCCCCCCCACCTAAGATTACTTGTTCATTAAAGATGGCTTCTTCTTTGTGGCAATCTTCTTGTTCTGCAGGCATTTCTTGTTGTTTCTCATAATTCCAAATCTCCATTTCTAAAAACTGAAATATGAAGCCAAAAGAGCCTCTCCTTTCTTGCGCATCTTCTTTGTACTTTTAAGTTCCATTTTCAGTTCTTCTAAAAGTGGAGCCATTTTAAACAGTTTTAAACAACCACCTGATTGATTTTAGTCATTCAAATACAATAACCAAAAATCCAGAAATCATCAAGTAATCCAAATAGTCCCGAGTTATATCTTCTTATTTCTTTTTCCACTTTCTCTTCCTGGGGTTTTGTTGTGATATTTCAGTTAGAATGTATCTTTTGGAAAAAATTTTTTTTAATATTGTATACATTGAAGGGTATTTTTGAACAGTGAAAGCAGAAGTTAATTTTAATATTGTCTGCCATTGAAGACAAACTATCTTAAAAAGGACAAGAGGATCTATCTTTACCAGTCAAAACTGAGACTGATCTAAAAGTGGATTTAAAATGACAAGTAATGAGAATGACATGTAAAAAGATGTAATATCTGTCATACACATGGAACCAGCTGATAACTTAATAACTAAACAGAATATAAAATGGCTATCCAAAAGACTGAGTTCGATAACTTTTTTATATTGGATTTAAGAAGCGATCTGAAAGATTTTGTGAGAAGAAAGAAAAAAGTTTTAGGACATTATTTAAAAGTAGATTAAAATTATTAAAATTAAAAGGAAAAAATATAAGGCAGGTTTATTTTAAAATATGGCTATTTCTGGTAATCCTTAATGGGATTTTTATTGACTAGGACTAAGTGATAAGATTTTAAAAATCAGTTTTTGATAAGAAAAGAAATAAGAAATGAAAAAGTAGATTGTTATATTTTAAGAGGTGATAAATTATTCAAAATGTTTATACTTGTGACAGAGAAGTCACTTCTTAAAATATTTATTTTCTTTTTCTTTGCTATACTTGTTGAGGTATTCCCCGTTATGAGAATGAGTGCACTCAGGGAAACATAGTGAGAGTGGTGATGAATAACACACAACCAGCACACAGATACACTGAATAGTAAAATGTAAGTTTTACTTCCTGTAAACGGGTAAACAAAGTACAACAAACAGTCCAAATCATATGCGGTTAAAGCAGTTAATATTCAAAATAATCAGTCTAGGGATAATCCAAAAACGAAGTCTTTTTCTTTACAAGTATCTGAAATAAAGTTCAGTAAGCGGAGTTTGCGAATAGTTGCAAGACTCACAGCAATTCAAGCAGAATGACGATCAGGCAAAAGGCAAAAGGAAATGCAAAAAAGAACAAATCAGGTTTCTGGCTCCATCTTATGGCCGTTGGAGGAACCTCAGCCAATCACAACATTCTCTTAAAGATTCAACAGTATTAAATGACTATCCTGGTTTATATATTGTCAACCCAACTGTTAGGTGACTATCATTCCTAACAATATTATTATTTTTTCTTTAACTTTTCTTTCTATACTAGTTTTAAATTTTCTACTTTCTTCCTTTTATTTTTTTGTAGTTTCAACTATAACGTTCAACTATAATGTTTAATAAAAGCATTGTTAAAAAATCATCCCTCCCAA